CATCATTGTGATGTAGTTCGAAAAATAAAAAATGTATATGAAAGTTGGCGAAGCTTAGATAAAAATAAAACAAGAAAGTCTGCAACACAACAGTACAATGAAAAAAAATTTCAAAACTCATTAAATAATTTGTTTGATATTGCCCACAAAGATGCTTTCAATATAATTAAAATTGAAGAAGACAGGCAGTTTCTAACTTTACAAAGACAAGAAGGTCGTGTTGGGTATATGATAGGTGTGGACAAAAAATTATGTGCAGTTGAAGAACGAAGATCTGAGCGAGAGCAAAGGAGAGAATTGTTCAAGCAAACAAACATCGATTATGGAACCGGGTAAATTAATTTTGTTATTAAAAAAAAAAAAAAAATATCTAATGATTTTTAAAAATAATTTACCTAATATACAATATAAAATTGACTATATCTATTATTTTTTTTTTCAGCCCAACTAACAGTGTTGATGTTGTGGAGAGTATATCAAGCGATGATGAACGTTATGTGCTTAACTCTAAAGATTCCGAAATTTGTGAAAGTATTACAATGCCAGTGAAAAATAAACGAGGTAGGAAAGAAATTATGAATAGTCGTTTAGCATCAGCTTTAGACAAATGTAAGGTTAGTGACAGGGATGCAGTTCACTTATTAATAGCATGTGCCGAGGTATTTAATGTAGATGTAAAAGACTATGCGATAAGTCGCTCTTCAATTAAGAGAGCTCGTGAAAGTTTTCGTTACCAAATATCTTCCGAAATTAAAACAGCGTTCCATCAATTAAACTTAAATTCTGTAGTTGTTCACTGGGACTCAAAAATACTTCCTAATTTGATTGGAACAGAAAATGTAGATAGATTACCAGTTATTATAACAGCACCAAACGTAGAACAACTTCTTGGAGTACCACATTTGTCATCTGTTACCGGAAAGGAAATTTCTTCTGCAGTGTATGACACATTAAAGGATTGAGATATGTTGGAAAAAGTGCAAGCGTTTGCATCACATATTTGAAATTATTTTGCAATCAATTTTCTCATACTCAAAACTTACAATAATGTCCGGTCCCGATATTCCAATTTTTAAACGTTTTAAAAATAACTGGAATCAAATAGATACAACTAAATTTAGTACTTGGGTAAGTGATATTGGGGTCAAAAAAATATTGCATAAAGTAGTCGATGATGTTATTATATTTTGTAAAGATACCTTAAGCCAAAATCTACCAAGGGATGATTACAAAGAATTTTTGGAATTGGTAATAATTTTTTTGGGTGGGGTACCACCTAAAGGTATTCATTTTAGACGTCCAGGAGCTTATCATCTAGCTAGATGGATGTGCAAGGGAATATATTGTTTGAAAATATACATTTTTCAAGAACAATTTAAAATTACGAAAGCAGAAATTTCTTCGTTAACAACTATTTGTTGTTTTATTGTAAAATGCTATATCGAGTTTTGGTTTAGGTCTCCTAATGCTATTGAAGCCCCTTATAACGATGTACTTTTTTTAAAAAAACTTGAAGACTATAAATCTGATGATAAGCAAGTGGCTGAGATCGCTATGAAAAAATGTATTAATCACTTATGGTATCTTGGAGAAGAAACCGCTTGTTTTTCGTTATTTGATGACAGGATTGATAATCAAATAAAAAAACAAATGGCTAAAAAACTACTAGAAAATGACGAGCTTGAGGACGATGAATTTACCACAGATATACAAAAAAAAATATGTATTAAAAATTGGCGATATATCACAATTTCTAAAACAGGACTTACCACTTGAATTGTTGACGCATAAATCGAAAAATATATTCCAAAGTTTCAAATTAAGCATGGATTTCTTGCAACAAAATCCGGAAAATTGGCCAAATATTGATAGTTATAAAAAGGCCAAGAATATTTTACACCATTTGAGCGTCATAAATGATGCAGCCGAACGTGGAGTCAAATTGATGGAAGATTTTAATACCAAATTTACGAAAAATGAAAATCAAAAGCAGTATGTATTGAAGGTAAGTTATATGTTAATAATTTACTAAAATAACTAGTGTCACTTAAGATTTATTTTTTTAGGTAGTACAAGAATACCGTAAAAAATATCCAAGCCATAGTAAAAATATGTTGACCAAAGATGCAATAAAATAGTATAGTTACTATATTTCTATCCTTTTTTTTCTTCTTTTTTTAATGTAAAATGTTAAAAATTAAATAATAATAGTATAAAAATGTTATTTTTCTATTTTATATAAAAAATGATTATGTTTCAAAAATCGTCAAGAAACCTTATTAATATAGCATAGTACGTTCTATAACAAAATGTATGTACGATTTTTGAATAACTTTAAAATTTAAGAGATAAGAGAAAAAAATAAAAATTATGAAATTTCCTAAGACATTAACTTTGACCAGTTTTTTTTTTAAATTAACGGATAACCATCAACTTCACAACATATTTATAAGAAACTTTTATTTAGTAAATACATATAGCTACAATAATAGTACTTATAATTTTTTGCGTAACATCAATATTTAAGAAAGTAAATGCAAAAAATGGTAATTCATCCCCAATTAATAAAAATTCAACCCCTTTGAGGCACGGGAAGGGGTAAACATATCACGCCCAAACTTTGTCACAATTATTGTTTTAATACATAGAACAAAATTTGGGGTACTCGTCATCAATTTTCAAAAAAAAAAAATTGACCTCTATAGTTAAGGACCACCCTAGTGGTTATAATTCTAAGTCAAGCAAAAAGAAAAATAATTGCTTTTAGCTGTATCTTTATAATCTAGATGACATCATACAAATAAACGCATTCTCGCACAGGATCAATCAATCGTTTCGTTTCATCAGCTATCGTTCTTTTTCGGTGCACAGCTTTAAATGATATACTTCATTTCAATTTATAGTTTATACACAATATTAAATATTTTCTTCATTTCTTGTATCAAAACAAGTTATTTTGATGTTATTATTAATATCGTTGATAAATTGTCTAGAATTTATTATTAGTTTAATTGAAGGTTTCTATGAATTTTGATTATAATATTATTATACTTGACTAGTATAGTATAGTAAAGTTATTAAAATATTATTATATTATGTATATATAATATAATCTATATTTAAAACATAATATATTGATTTATTATCTATAATATATACATTTTATTCGAGTCCGTCGCGATCTTTGTGAAAAAATACAACTCATTCAGTGGCACACACAGGGGAGGTTAAGGGGGGTACCCCCCTCCCCCAAAAATTTTCTCCGAGTTCTAGGTTAAAATTTACAAATTTTACAAATTTGAAATATGAAAAGCTAGTATTGAATACCTATTATCATTGATAATAGAATAGACTATTCTATTATCAATGCTATTATTTAAGTCAAAATATATAAAGGATTTGCATAATTTCGTTAATTGTAAAATGTGTTATATTTTAATCTTATCCGTCGTGGACAGTCCGCTCTCTGTTTGACCGGACCTTAATCGTTTTTCATTTTTGATTCATTATCTGTTATAGATTTCAATTGCTTTTTGAATAGTATAACGTTATACTTATAACTAGGCTTAGAGACTTATAGCTCTAAAAAATACATAAATATAAATGCAAATATGCTTCTAAAATCATTAAAATATGCATTATAATATGCATTTATATGCATTAAAAAAAAAAAAAAGAAAAATGACCACATAGTACACAAAATAAAACGTGTCTGTTGGATGTAAATGTATTTTTAAACTCCGAAACAAAACTTTGTAGTCGGCTACTCGTAGACTGTTGTACTTTCGGCATTACACAATGTTACAAAATACGTATTACGTTTTATGTATGATTCGACGTTACGTGGTTGCGAGACGCAAAAATAACGACGGATAATAATAATTGACTGAACTGAACACTAAATAAATAATCTATTATTCTATATAAACAATTATCTTTATCGACATCCGGTCGATATCCAGATACAGATTCAGATCGATACAGGTTTATAGTAGTTTGCAGATAGAATATTACTGGAAATATTAAGTACATTTTTTTTTTCGATCGTTTGAAACATGTATATATAGTTATATGTATCTATAGTTTTTAATTTTAAATTTAAAAAAATTGTCAAAATATGGAAAATAAGAATAAAAATTTTAAAATATGCACTCTCCTGCAAAATCTATCAAATATGTAAAAATATGCACATTCAAATTTTAGATCTGATATCATAGCATCGAGAAAAAAATTTATTTCGCACTCTGCTATATTTAACAATAATTAAAAAAAGTATGCAAATGCTAGAAGTCCCTAAGCCTACTTATAACGTTATAAAAACGTTTTGGTGTCCTGGTATGGACAATAAGTATCGTTATAAAATTATCCAAATTAAAAAAATTTGAAATGTTTATCTCACATTTGATCTATTCCTTAAATACGGATTCAGGGGGTGTGATCGCCCCTTCTTTCCCCCCTAAAATACGCCCCTGACTTACATACGGGATCACTTTGTATCTTAGTAGGTAAAATTACACCAGTTAGCATATTTGTTTTAATATTATATATTAATTATATTATTATATAATAATATACCTATAATATTTTGTATAATTATTATTTATTTTAATATTATATAATATACATTTATATATAATTGGTAATGGTTTTGAGTGCGCATTTTGTTTATCATGTAACAGGTAATGTTTTTTTAAACAGCTGATCGTAATATATTTTATCATAACTAAACAATAAATCGAAAACTTCGTTCAGTATAAATTCTGTTATCAACACGTACAGAAAAATCACGTTTTTTGGAATACACAATATCTTTATAAGTAAATTATCTATTCGTATTTATTAAAAATAATGAAATTAATAACTTAATATTTATGTTTATGTTTATATAACTTACTACTTGGTATTTAAGAAAGTGTTTAATTTAGTTTTTTCTAAAAAGTTATTGATATTTATTTCATTAATTACTTATTTAGTTTTTTCTTTTGAGAAATAGAATTATTTTGTTTGTTTTGTTGCTAATTTTCATTAATTTGGTGTCCTTAAATGTATGATACATTTTTTATACATATATGTACTTATTTGGAACTATTTAGTGTAATACAAAGTCGGTATGTGATTTGTTAAAAAATTAAAAATATTTTTAAATATTATATTTTAAATAATATACTATTTTAAAGAAGTATTTTTTACGTAGTATTTGCATTTTTATACGTTTCACAACCAAAAAAATAATGTATTTGTGTTTCATAAATTTTTTATGAATGATAACATTATATCAGTTATAATATTTCATTCAAAACAAGGTATTTTTGTGAGTGGTGCAAAGAAAACCCAACCACTGGATAATTTTGCATCAAAATAAAATAAAAATTTTAACTAAAAAAAAGAAAGTTATTTGACTATGGGTATTTGTTTCTGAGATACCTTAGAATAACCAACAAAAATATCAGAGCACTAACTTTTAAACTTTTGTTTATATTCTCAAATAAACAAATACTTTTCAATATTTGGCGTAAAGTAATACGTTATTCATTGTTTTATAGTCAAAAATGAACAAAGTAAAATGGAATGTTGTTGTTCTTGCTATGATATTGGATTTGGTGTTCTGCAAATTGGAATTGGAAATAACGAATGGTAAAATTAAAGGACAAATTTTGAAATCCAGGGATGGACGTTCATTTTACTCCTATACGGGAATACCGTACGCGAAACCACCAATTGGAGAACTAAGGTTCAAGGTAATCAGTAGACTATTATTTGATTAAACGATAGAATGATTAACTAAAGTCGTATATCAATCGATACTATTAGTATCAGTGGCATACGCAGTGGGGCTAATGGGCTAGTGCTTCCCCACTCAATTCCTCGTATTATTTTTTTTTTGGTATTCGTCAATTGCACCGAATTTAGGACACTACTTGTATAGTATATATCTATTGCGTCGGTATAAAAAGGGTATATTAAAAAGGTAAACATCTATCGCGCCGGTATAATACCGGTATAATAACTTATACAGTACAAATAAAAATCATAATGGCTAAAAACAAAAATTAAAATTAAAATCAAACTATATCATTCTACATACTTGGTATTTACACTAATAGTAGATTATATATATTTACACTAATCCTACAAATTTTGAAAAGTTCTTAGGTCTATTATTAAAATTAGTTATGCCTATTTTACTATTTATTTTTTTGTCATAAATGTTAAGTTTAGTCTATTTGTGATAACTAAGAGAACAAAAAACGTTTTATGATTGTTGCATTACATTATTTTTAAAACTTCATAAAAAATAAAAATATTTGGATGGGGTGAATAAAAATATTTCCCAAACGCTGAGTGAAATACCTCACAGGTATTTGTTGTTCTTTTGCCTGATATGTCACACAATGACCAAAGATACGGAGAAAAAGTTACATTTTCATCAATATATGTATCAATGAGATGATCGCAAAATGTATTAACTCGAATATCGATCGGCACAATAGATATATACCTTTTTGTAAAAATTGTAAAGCTTTCAACCATAGCTGTTTGTATCGAACTACTTAACATTAATCAATTTCTTTGTATCATTCGTATCGTGCTGTCGTGTTTGTTGAATCTATTATTTCTGTTTATAAATGCTAATAGATTAATATTAATTACATTTAATAATTAATTAAATTAATTAAAATCATTATTAATAACTATGAATTTAATTATAAATTAAATTAATAAATGCTAAATAAAATTCATATTTTTAAATTAATTTTTTTTTCTATGCTCTGGCCCGCTAGATATTAATTTTCTAAAAATTTACCCTCTTGTAACTTTGAGTTGTCCATCTTTGGTCTATATCAGGAACGAAAATTGATTGAAATCTAATCTGCGGTTTTGTTACACTTGTCACTTAGCCTTCTGGCAAGATAGTGTTCTGTGTAATCGTATAATGTTAATTCCCATAGTGTTTTTTTTTTCAAATTTTTGATTTTATAAATCTTGTATTCATACGTACTATGTTCATTGAAGTAAACTGTAAAGTATTATTATACAGCAGTATAAAAGTATGTATGTACTTTATTTTTATAAGTCATATTTAGATATTTATTTTCAAGCTACCCTCCCCAATTTAAAACTCCTGTGTATACCACTAATTAGTATAGTATATTATTACAATATTTGTTCAGGCGCCGGAACCAGCCGAACGATGGAATGGTACACTGGATGCTACGAAAAAACCAAACCGATGCTTGGATAAACAAATATCAGGATGCAATGAAGATTGTTTACACTTAAATGTGTATTCTCCAAAATCTGATAAAAATCTTTTACCAATTATGTTTTGGATTCACGGCGGAAGTTTTTCTGAGGGTTACAGCGGAACGTTCGGACCAGAATATTTTATGGACAAAGATGTAATTTTAGTTACGATAAACTATAGGCTTGGTGTATTAGGTTAGTTGATTAGATTAGATTATGTACGATTATTAAAATTGTCGTATTAACTTAATTTATATGAAATAGCTAATAGCTAATACGTCTAAATAATTTTGACATGTATATCAATGGCACAGAAGTAAAAACTTTTTTCAAATACTATATTGTCATGAAAGGAAACTATAAAGGACTAAAGTTTCTTGGTCATAGAAATGTAAGGCTATAGTTTTCTTAAAAAAAAAAAAATGTATTTAAGCTGCAGTGATAAATTGTGAATTCTCTCGTTTTCTAATATAACCGAAGTAGTTCAATATTTTCGAGTATTTGGATGATTTAGAAATTAAGAAAAAAAGACAAAACTTTCACTGGACCAAAAAAAATCATGTAATTCAAACAAAAAAAAAATTCAATAAATAAATGTTATGTACTTATAGGGTTTTTAAGTACCGAAGATGATGTGATAACCGGCAATTACGGGATGAAAGATCAAGTCGAGGCATTGCGTTGGGTACAGAAAAATATAATTTATTTTAATGGCGATCCTAATCAAGTGACGATTTTTGGCGGTAGTGCAGGAGGCGCTAGCGTAGGATTTCATATGTTATCACCGATGAGTAAAGGTCTTTTCCACAAGGCTATATTGCAAAGTGGTACTCCGGTTTGTAGGTGGGCTATTTTACCTCCTGGAATTCCTCGTAAACGAGCTCATACAATTGCCACTATCGCAGGATGCAATTATAATACTTCAGAAGACATATTAAATTGTTTGAAAAAACTTCCAGTTGATTATATTGTTAATGTTCAAAATAAATTATATGTAAGTTTTAATCTGATCTGGTTTTCCAAAATTAGTAAAATGATCATAAATGTTGTACGTTAGAAACTTGAAATCTGAATGGTATGTAAGTGAATTATTTTATTTTATTATTTTCAAGGCTTGGTTCCATCATCCCGCTGTATTATTTAATCCCGTCGTTGAAAATTGTAATTCAGATCATAATGGATTTCTTTGCAATCATCCAATTTACGATTTCAAACAAGTATCTTTTGTGCCCGCTATTTTTGGTGTTAATTCAGGCGAAGGTGGAATGTTTGTTTCTTGTAAGTTATTACAATCATTACACATACGAGTATAATGTCAAACGGTCATATATTGTTTAATTATAATGCAGCCAAAAATATACCGATAGACTCATTTAAATTTACCAATAACCATTTTATTTTGCTCTATTAATTTATGTATTTATATGCATTATCTGTTGGCAGCTTTATACAATAGTACATCCCTGGTTCGTACAGAATTCCGGGAAAATTTTAATCGTTTACTGTCCATTATATTACACTATAATTACTTTACTAAAGAAGAATACATAGATGAAATCGGACAACTAGCATTGAAAGAATATTTTCCATCGGGTACTGTAAATGACGATTCTCATTGCAATAGTACTAATGTAATAAGATCGAAATGAAATACAATATTGTAATATATCAAACAACTGATGCTACATTAACATACGCCCTGTTTCAGATTTTTACAGATGAGGGTTTTATTCGTTGTACTCTAGATATGGCGACACAATTGTCGTCGCCCGTCTATGGTTACTATTACGATTATCAGAATAATTTTTCGTTTAATCGATACTTCGGTTCTTGTGAAAAACCGCTTGGAGTCACTCATTGTGATGAACTCACTAGTATATTTAAAATGAGCACTATAAATCCTGATGATTTAAATGCAAAAGACTTGGAAGTATCGAAACTAGTTGTCAATATTTGGTACAAATTCGTTAGTTCTGAGTAAGTTAATTTTTTCAGAGAAAGTCTATATTGATATGGGAGATATTGAAAAAGTTCTATTAATGCTTCTTCGATTTGGTCGAAAAACTTTTTTATGAATAAATAATTTCAAACATATTCATAGAATGTTGCTTTTGACGTTAATGTCAGGTTTATTAAGTGGATAACTGTTGATATTCCTTTATTGGTTGTATAAATTCTAATTTCAGAAAGATAATGGCCTTATAAAAAAACTATATATAAAATAATATAAATCTATTTTAAATCAAAAATAATAATTAAAATGTATATGCACTGATATGACCGTATTAAATAAATTGTAAGAAAATTAATATTCTAATTACTTAATAGGCAGTTTCTATAATTATTTCGAAAAAAAGTTGAATTCCGTTAAGTTAATACATTTTTAAACCTTATTTACGTAGAATTTCTTTTTTATGTTCGAGAAGAAATTGTTTTATCGAGTTTATATAACATTTATTATATATTATATATACATGATGATAGACTCTTTAGTTAGCTTTAATGCACGGTATATTAATTCACCTTGTTTTAATATAAATTTATATTAATTGTTATTAAAAAATAATAAAATTATAATAATATAGTACATAGTAAACAAATAGTTTTTTCATTATTGAAATATTTTTCGATTTACAGATTTATACATTTATTTTGCTTTTCAGAACGCCTACTATTGATGGATCAGATGGAGGAGATGCTTGGCCAATATTAACTTCTAATAAAAAATTAACTTTTCTACATATTAATTCAGCGCAACCAAAAATTATTCAAAATCCTTTTGGAGAAAAATATAAATTTTGGTACCGAATTTCTCATTATTTTCAATTACGTCAAACGTCGTTATGCAAATTACCATACATATAAAATTAACTTTAATTTTATCATAGTTTTTACTAGAAATTCTTTGAGTGTAAAAATGTAATGACTAATTAAGAATAATTAAAAACATTGTATACTATATTATACAACAGGGATGGGCAATTCAAAGTTACTAGAGGGCCAATTTTTAGAAAATTAAAATCTAACGGACCAGAGCTTTAAAAATAAATCATTCAAAATATGAATTTTAATTAGCATTTATATACACGAAAATAATAAATTCAACACGCATGAATAATGCAAAGAAACTGATAATATAATAATTAGCATTTATTAATTTAATTTATAATTAAATTCATAATTAATAATAATTATTTTAATTTATTAAATTAATTATTAAATGTAATTAATATTAATATAATTAATTAATTTTTAATCCATTAGTATTTATACACGGAAATAATAGATTCAACACACACGACAGTACGATATAAATGATACCAAGAAACTGATTAATGTTAAATAGTTCGGTACAAACAGCTATGGTTGAAAGTTATACGTATTCATACATGACATTTAGACATTTAACGATGTTTAATACAAAGCAACAATTATTATCGATAAGATAGAGCATAGACGATAAACTTTAAAATTGTATGGTTAATTTTGAAAATATAGCACGGGCCAGAAAAAAAGGCTGCATGATGGATGCGGCTCGCAAGCTGCAATTTGCCTACCTTTGTCATACAATAATACATTAAACTTTAATTTTACAATATTTTAACTACGCTTTATGAACTTTATTTTTTTTTTTTTACAAATAATTATATAGAAAAATAATTAAAAATAAAAATCTAAGGAAATTCTAATGTTTTTAAGATTTGAATACTTGCAAATAACTGATGTTAAAAAGTTTTTGATTATTTATTACACTAAATATTTTAGTGACTCACAAACACATCGTATTAAATAACATATAGTACAGGTTTTAAATTTAATATATATATATTTTATAATATTATATAGTTGTTTTTTTTATTATATTCATTCATCCATTACTGATTATTGTCAAACGCAGTGGTATGCCTTTTACTAATAAGAACACTTTATTCTTATTACATGTGGAGAGAATAATATTTATGTTATTATTTTTAATCATTACTATGATTATAACAGTTATAAATATTAACATAGACAACTCTACGTCAACTTGATTGATGTATAATGTACTCTACGGCAGCTGTGAGTATTTTGCTCCTGTCCTGATTAGCAAACGATCATATAACAATTGGCACATTGTTCAATATAAATGAGAATGGAAAATTTAAAACTCCCAATGAAACATAGTATTTTTGATATATGAAACTATTTAAAGTTTTTGACGACTTGAATTTATAACAGCATTTAAGTACCTTGTACAATACAATTATATTAAAAATTAGTAACATAATATTCAAATAAAATGGTACGTAATACTTTTAACTTATTATATAAGATAAATCATGGTCTTAATTAGTCTCTTATCAATAAAAGTGTTCGAATAATGATTTAACTTAATGGTTAAGAAGATTGAAAGCATTAACTTAATCTACATTGTTTTATTTTGATACTTTATGTTGTTTTACATACATGCATTTCAAGTACACACCTACTAATAATGCCTTATGATAATTATTCTACTACATTTGAAACTGAACTATTGATATGGTGTTAACTTATAAATATCTAGTATTATTTTTCATGTTATTTTGGAGAGAAGTTAATAAACGTAACGGCAATTGAAAACTTTCAAATTAATATCATAAAGTTAAATTAGTCTGCAATATTATAAAAGTAATTATCGTGTGTAATTTTAATTATAAACAAAAATTAAATGTTTTCATGTTTTAAGGAATATGTTTTTATGAATATTCATTGAGCAGTGTTATTGGCGGACTTCTTATTAATACTACTGAAGATATTGTTGATTTTGACACCATTAAATTTAAATTATATTTTTATAAGCCACTCAAGCATTACATGTATTTCGAAGTTTGGTATTGAATGAATAAACATAATAAACCAGGTTTTAAAAAATAAATCTTACTATTAATAATTATTAAATATTTCCCTTTTTATTCCCCCTGGACAATTATAAATAATCTAAATTAAAAATGTATGATGTTAATTTCAATTTATCTTCAATTAGAAATTAGAATAGTCACTTGTAGCAATAATATGATGACATTAAAATGTTATACTTGTTTTAGATTGATATTTTAAATTTTTTAAGGAAAATAAAATTTTTAAATATGTTTATATATTTTTTTTCAGTTTGAAGTAACGTGTCTTTAGTAATTTAAAAATTGTATTATACCTAAAATATTTATGAAACATTAATTTATGATACTTCATGTTGTAATGTAATATTTTAATTGAAATATAAATTATTAGGTACTTTATATCGATATTTTACAATTAAATTGTATTTAACTACGTGTTTGAGCTGCAGTGTATAAAGTATATAGTTATGCAATAAGACATTATTGATTATTTTATTATGGTGTTAATCTTTTTTTGTTATCAATAAAAATGCTCTGCATTGATTATTCATAGTTAGAATATAGTGATACATTCAACTTGAACTGTTTATTAACTCAAAAGTGCATACTTTAAAGAATAGAACAATTAATTAATAAATATTTATTATTTATTGAATAACTTGGAAATATTTTAAATGAATATATTATTATGGAAGTTCATTACTGTCCTAGTATTTTTCAATTTTGCATACGGCAAACTGGTGGTGGAAATAACGAATGGTAAACTAAGAGGAAAAATTTTGGAATCTAGAGGTGGACGTTCTTATTATTCTTATACGGGTATACCATATGCAATACCACCAATCGGAGAACGGAGATTTAAGGTATGTATAATTTGTAAATAAAAGGTATCATTGTAGGTTTATATCAGTATTCGTTACATTCAAAGTAATTGAACGGAGAACCAGTTTTGACAATATTTTAACACTTTAAACAGCCACCCGAGTCAGCAGAACCGTGGACCGGAACATTGAACGCTACGAAAGAATCAAATATATGTACTCAACAGGGATTTACGGGTGGTCAAGAAGATTGCTTGTATTTGAACGTATACTCACCGAAAACCGATAAAGGATTCTTACCAATAATGTTTTGGATTCACGGAGGAGGTTTCAACTGGGGCCATAGTCGTTCCGATTTATACGGCCCCGAATATTTCATGGACAAAGACGTGATATTGGTAACGATAAATTACAGACTTGGTTTATTAGGTAGGCTTGTCATATTGTTGTCCAGAATTTCAATTTGTCATAACGACTTTAAATATGCATGTAGCGGATACGATATTTAATTCTGTGTACTTTTTAAGGATTTCTTAGCGCCGAAGACGATGTGATAACCGGCAATTACGGAATGAAAGATCAAGTCGAGGCTTTGCGTTGGGTGCAGAAAAATATAATTTATTTTAATGGCGATCCTAATCAAGTGACGATTTTTGGTGGTAGTGCAGGAGGCGCTAGCGTAGGATTTCATATGTTATCACCGATGAGTAAAGGTCTTTTCCACAAGGCTATACTACAAAGCGGTACTCCAGTTTGCAGATGGGCCATTTTACCTCCCGGAATCGCCCGCAAACGTGTCCATTCGATCGCCACTATCGCCGGGTGTAATTATGATACCTCAGAAGACATATTGAAATGTCTCAGAAAACTACCAGCTGAATATTTGATGGATCTCCAAAATAAATTACACGTGAATACAAATACATAATTGTATGAAAAATATAAGAGTTTAATTAAATTAATACGAAAAAATCCGAACATTCCGATATGTTGTGACTATTCGGAATGTTTTAGTGAATATCTTTATTATTATTATAGCGCGGATATGCTATAAAAACCAACCAAATATAAATTAAAAAATCTTTAACGTGCATAAGTATATCTGTTACGGGTAAAGTTAAAAAATGGGTAGTTTACACAATACTCGGGTAAAGTACACCTTATTCATATGGATAGTATAATGTGTACAATGTACACTGTACATTATCCAGTGTGCTATAAGTTTAATTCGAAAAAAAATTATTAAGTACCTAAACTATGTATTATTAAGTTATTATTTTATAATAAAAAATATTAAAAAATTAAATAAAGTTATTTATTGGAACACTTTGAGGCATTTTGAGTTGCAAAATATCTCTCCGGATTTACATTTAATCGCACATTTATTTGTTAAATGATTATTTTCACACAAATATTTTTTAAAACTTTGACCATCGAAAAAAATTGTGCATTAGCTATTTCACAAAAATATTTTTTTGTAACCGACATTTATAAAATATTTATACAAGTTTCATTATGATTTATTTGTTTTTTATTCATGTTTCTTATTTCAGATAATATGTTATAATATTTTGATTCCTTTAAATTTACTGAATTTCCATTCTTTTCATTAATTTATTTATTATAATTTTCATATAATTTCTATTTTTATGACGACAAGGTTTTTTTTAAAAAAACTAAATGATCAAACATTAATAAACCGAGCAAGTGAACTTGAAAACCAATAGCACCGTATGTAGTTTAAAATTATTATACAATATCAATGCACACGATTTATCATCATGTAGGTACAATTTATATTTTATCGTATTTTATTAATATTATCTACAGTTCATATTTGTCGTATTTTATTTTATGAAAACACTTTATCCACTCAAAGATAAATAATGTAAAAATTACCTGGTTGATGTACCTACAAAATAAACGTTTTACAAATATGTTTACTTTATCCAATGGGCATGGGTAATGTTCACATTACCCAGATGATGTGTACATTACCCGATTTTCTTACTCTACCCGTAACATATCGTCGCCTCAGTTCAAGACTGCAATAACTCAAATTATGAAACTACTAGTTCTAAAATGAAATAAGCAACTTCTAGAGGTGAATAATGCAAGTAAAAGTTATTGCGTTATAGAACCGAAATCGTCGTAACTTTGCAAATAATATTACGTAGATAACTCAATTCTGATTTTTTTTTGAGTTCTTGCTATCTTGTACTGAGGCGACGATATATACTAAAAAAAAAAATAAAAAAAAATATGCATATGAAATTTAGCAAAAAAAAAAAAAATAATTTTTGAACATTTAATTAAAATAATACATAAGAAAAAAACTTTTAAAATTAGGTAACACTACTCTAAATACATTTTTTCTTCTCCATTAATTATTTTGAAATTTAGTAACCAAAATCATTTTGTAGGTAGTTTTCATCTATAAGAAAAAAAAAATCAATTAATATCAAAAATAAAATAAAATAAAATTTTCTTTTTAAAACGCATATTACATTGTATGACAATCATTTTAGTTATAATTTCAAAAAACCACTAATTGGTATTTGTCAGTCAACAAATTGTTATTTATTGAAAATTATCTTTCCACATCTACAAAAAAAAAATAGGTGCGTATTTAAAAAATATATAATTTAATTTAGAAATGAATCTTTGTCGGTTTGAATTAATTCATTTTCGCCTTTTAAACATTTTAATATTTCAGTATGTCTTACATTTTCGATAATACTTTTTTTTAAATTTTTCATAAACAGATTTATCCTTTATATTACAACACTTAGTAAATATTTCAAAAATATAAAAAAATATAATAAAACAAAAAAACATCAAAATATGCTCTAAAAGATAGAATGTGCAATTAAAAACATAAAATAAACCCTTAAAATAAAATTAAATGGGTGAATATCAAAATATGTAAAAATAAACTCTACAAAAATTTGATTGTTTTAATCGTTATGTTATAAAACAAATGTTGTACTAACGTAGCATATATGTTATGATCAGCCTGAATAAATATGTAAACGCATATAAATCCGGGCTCTAATTACTCTCGTATTATTATTGTTAATTTGGGTGAATATTCGATGCTTGGATAGTAAAAATAACGAGGGAACTCTGTCGGTGAGACCTGAAATAATTTAATATTTTTCATTTGATGGTTCATGAATAGGTAATACCAATCGCCTGTCACAAAATTACATTTGAAAAACCATATTTTCTTCGATACACTGCTTATATTAAGTCAATGTAATTATTGAATGTACTAGTCTACTATTTATTAATTTTTTTAATTAATTTATCATGAAATAATCTTGTTTATATTATCTTCCGGCGGCAAAATTCAAGATAACACCTACCCACAATTTTTTGGTGGTTCACTGAACCATTAAATGTAATATCAAGTCGTCTTTATTTGCGACTATCAATGTTTTTTACATAAAGAAATCACAGCACTTATCAGTTTCAATTATTATAGTGATGTGCTTGTATTAGTACATTTTGTTATTATGTTATAAATACCATGTATGTATAATGATGATAATGTCGGATTGAAAAATATTTTATATAAAAAACATGGTTTAAAGTATTTATTATATTATCGCTTTGCTTCATGCATTTTATATTTAACGTATTCCAACTAATTAACTATGATTATTAATCTTTAGCCATGGCTCGATCATCCTTACATTTTATTTAGTCCTGCTGTTGAAAACTGTTATAATAATTATCAAGAAGCGTTCTTATGTCATCATTCGCTTTATGATTTCAAACAAGAATCTTTCGTACCTGCTATTATTGGTTTGAATTCAGCCGAAGGGGCACTGTACGTTGCTCGTAAGTTAAAAATAGCAGTTATGAATTTTGGAGTTAGTTATTACTAAAAATCATTTGTGTTATGTTACTACGTAGCTCTGTGTAATAAAACGTCGCTGTTGCCCGCCGAATTTTTCACGAATTTTAATTATTTGGTGTCCGTCGTAACAAATTACAATTTCTACACAAGGCCGGAACACATTGACGAAATTGGAGAGAAATTGTTAAAAAAGTATTTGTCAAATGGACGAATTGAGGATCACATACATTTGAACGCGGTTAAAGTAACCTATTTATTATTAAGATTTTAATGATAAAATAAACTAAATATGAATGTACGAATGGGTTTCAGATGTTTACAGATGCAATTTTTTCTCAATGCACTTTTGATATGGCATTTAAATTGTCCTCTCCTGTGTATAGCTATTTTTACGATTATCAAAATGAGTTTTCGTATAATAAAGTGTTTGGATCATGTGAAGTACCTTTAGGAGTCGCCCACGGCGATGAACTAAATAGTTTATTCAAAATGAGTAGTCTTAATTCAAACGAGTTGAATGAAAATGATTTTAAAGTTTCGAAACTAATCGTCAATATTTGGTATAAATTCGTATCATCCAAGTTAGTAAAAATGTATTAATTTAATAAAAAAAATATATTACATATGTTTTGAAAAAAAATGTGCATTGATGTCTTCTTCAAGTATTTTTTAAATAGTCATCATATTTCGTGGTTAGTGTTGATTTAATAAACTTAAGCTATATTAAGCGTACAGTTAAATTATAACATTAAGTTCTATAAAAAAGCATTTAGATTTTTTTTTTCACAATTATTTAAAACTATTGAATTAAAAATAAAATTAGATTGCAGCATAATATTTTAAAAAAAATGCATAAGCATGTTCAATATTAATTGTACTTTTAATTTTTTTTTTTAATTGGCCTTTGTTCGTACATTGCAGAAAAGCGAATACATTTAATGTAATATAAATTTTAATTATTAATAACTATTTTTATTTGTGATCTCATAACTAAAATGTAATGTTTCTTATATAAACATATTATTAAAATTGTTCTTTCAAATAAGTTACATATTTCCATAAAGAAATATGTATAAATTTATTTAAATCATAGTTATATTGTATATTATATTATATTGTTATATTATATTGTATAAATTTGAAGTATTTCTTATTTTATTAATGATTTAGAACCCAAAATTAATTTTTGTTTATCACAGTTAAGTTTTTGAGAAACTCTTATTAAATCTAGAAAAACAAAACAACTTGATTGTGTAGTACTTGTAGTTTTTTTTTTTTTATTTTACAGTAAGCCTACAATTGATGGATCAGAAAATGGTTTAGCTTGGCCAACATATACTCAAACAAATCAAGTCATGTTGCATTTGAATTCAAGTCGTTCTAGTTTATTTCAAAATCCGTATTCCGATGATTACGAATTTTGGAAAAGCCTTCCTTTTGATTTTAAAGATAAATTATAATCACAAGCAATAGAAATCAGTAATGAAAAATTATCTAAGTGTATACGCGTAAACTCTGTGTTTATTTTTACAATCATTACATTACCTACTATTTGAATTAAAATATATAATCATGTACCTATACAGTAATTGATTTTATTTTATATATAGTATAATATTTAAGAATCTTTTAAACAGTTCAAGATAAGTTTTGATTCTATAGTTCCCTAACAGGGGACTGAACATTGATATGTATTTTTATTTACGATCAATTTTTCATAATTTATAATAACAATTTAAATTTATGATAAAAAAAAAATGGAAAAAAATGTACATTATGATTGAACAAACATATGTTTTTTGTGAGGTTAAAGGGGAAAAAAATTATTATGTGTTTTCGGACGTTATGATAGTATTGTTGATATTGATGATTTGGATATTTCTTGAGTTCGCCGTGGGCCACTTCCACTTTTCGGCCAAAAATTATGTTAGTTGACTTTTTTTTTTCATGTAGTTTAAACATTGATTAAATATACATAGATAGCCTATACAATGATAATGTATGGAAGCTCCCAATAACCGACCGGGGGAGCCAGAAATCTAGTAGTATGGGAGCTAGACATTAAAGTGTGCTATTTTTGTTGTTCAGTGGTCATATTATACGGCTTTGAACCCAGGGGTTTCGATTTCGAATCCTGTAAAGTACAACAGATTTTTTTTTCTTATATTTATCTTTACAATAAGACTATTGACTAAGTATATCTTAAGAATTTATTCATATTGAAATTAATTAAACATGGCTGAGCATTTTTTAATTAATATATGATCATTTTAGCTGTTACCTATAACAAAATTACTAAACAATTTTCGAAAAAAGGTTATATGTTGTATTAACGATACAATTCAAAATTGCAAATATGTAAATTTAACGTAATGAGTGAATTAAGTATGATAATATAAGTGTACAATTTATAAATACATTTTTAAAATAAAGTTTTATATACATTGTTGTACATCTATTTACTACTAAAAATTAATATAACTATTAAAATATTTTGTACCTATGTATAAATTTATATCATACGGCCAATGTCGACGCGCGTTTAACGCCTCTCATGTGAACTAGCCCTTAATCAATGGATTTAGTAAATAACAATATTCAATTTAATTTATATTCTTGGAATTCTTCTTATCGCAGTTTATTTTTATTCTACCGGTTTGTGTATTGTGTACAATTTAGTATTTACCAACGCTATCTATTGTCACATAATCCGTACTAATTTACGTGTTTCCATAGTGCGTATAGCTATGGGCTATCTATGTATATTTAATCAATGGTTTAAAGGTTTTAATCAAAGGTTCCGTTATGTCCTTGTACAAATGACTGTAAAGAGTAGGTTGAATCAAGTTAATGATCGTTGTTGTTGTGAGAAAAATCTCAAAAATCTCAAAAATTATATTTGTACTTTGTACAACACGTACGTTGAACTGCAATAATAATGCATGGTTATTATATAAAAAAATATAAAAAATGATTACAATATTTAACCAAAATAATCACCAGACGTATATATAACAGTTAGGCAGTGTGACAACGATATCCGTCTAATCTACAATAGATGGACGATTCGGTTGCGCACATGTACCTTTTTAATATTCGTTCGAGCACAACAGTACATTTCCCTTCTAACTTTAATATAGGCTTAGTACTATCTGTTTTACACAGACGTAATTAAAAATTTGTATGTATGTTTGTTCCAAATCTATATGTAATATTATCCTACATCAGATATTTAACACAAGATTGACGTTGTTTTAGTAAAAAATTTTTTAGGCACCAGTGTGGCACAGCAGTCACGCAATATTCATCACGATTTGTTCGATTCTCAGCACAGTGCTAATATTCTTGCGACGACCAATTCCCACATCTTCTGCTTTCCGTCGTACGACTGTTGATAACAGTACATCGCTCCCTCTCCAGCAAAAGACACATTTTTTTTAATATTATGGGTATTGGAATGTGGAATAGATATATTTTACTGTTGCTTAAAAAAACCCATTAAATAGCTCTAGCAGCATGACATTTTTGCAACCTTTAATAATTTAATAATACGAGTATATTTTATTATCTAATATAAAGTACGCTATCGATTTAACTCGTAGTGTCGTACTATCGGTAAATTATGATAAAGTTTCTGGTAATTTATGGATTTAAGTTTTTATAGTTACATTGAATTTCATAACCACAACAATTTTGCATTGTTACCGGAAATGTATTAATACAAAACGATATTAGAAACTATAATCAAAAGATGTTTACTAATTATAAACTATATATAAGTACTAGTTGAATAATCTGGGAGATATTTTATTACTTAAGATTGAAGCAATTAACTATATATAAATGCTAGTTGAATAATTCGGGAGATATTTTATTACTTAAGATTGAAGCAATTACTTAATTGATTTAAAAAAAAAAATAAAAAATAAATAGATTGAAAAATAAAGCACAATTCTCGTATTTTCTAATGATATTTATTTTTCTTTATTTATACTGTATTAATTGACATTGACCTCAAAAGGTGATTATTAAAATCAACACAGTAAACAAAATATAATATTTCTTAGGTAAAGATACAAAATTATAAATTATGTAAATTCAGCTCGAAACTGTATCGATCTTTAAAAATTCGATTTTCAAAAAATCCTTTTTTATTACACATCTAGATTATTAGAGAAATAGCTATAACAAATTTCAAGTTCATACATTTTATCGTTTTTGAGATATGTCAATCAGTGAGTGAGTGTTATTTTAATCAAATACATATAGATTTAACCATGAAAGTTAGAAATAGATATTTATTTAAGTCTGTTAAGTTACGTGATTTACTGAACCTAAAACACCGGTGATTATTCCACCAGTTACCGAGATTATCCATCATAAAATAAACTTTAATATTATAAGAACACGAATCGCTCCGTGGATGTCGCTCAACCCTTCGTCTGTATACTTATTTTTTGGGATGTCGTCTGTACACTAGGTCATAAATGGATAGACGTGTTGTTTAGTACTAAAAACACTTAAGAAAAATCTGAAAAAAATTATATTTACTAATTGAGAGATGCTTTTTAAGATCCTGAAGTTTGTTTTACGATTTATTAATAATTACATTTTATATAACATTGTAAAAGAGACGAAATTGCGAAAAAATGCATTTTCGAATTTTCGGTTGTGTAATAAAAGACGTACAGACGAAGTCCACTCCTCCGGATGAGTCCACTCCTCCGGATGAGTTTTCGTGTTTGAAATAGGTTTCAATTTTCTCTGACTTCGTTTCACTCGAACCCACTGCCGAATGGCCGTAACGTACATGACTACATGTCTGATTTTTGTTTATCAATTGTCCACATTATATAAATGATAATATAATTTAAATATAAATAACATAATGATAATATCCATGTTATTTGTATATTTCAAATTGTATTGCATGATATTTTTGTGAAATAATCAATAATTTGCAACGTTGCCGCTGTTCGTCGTGTGAATGTCATTCCCATACGGATAATATAGGAAACGTGGATTCGTATGCGAATATAAAGGTTTTGTGAATACTATTTTTTGTTCGTACACAGAAACGAACATGTGAATCATTCGTACACTGATTTTTTTCGTGTGAGTTACTGAATAGGTACTCTGAGTCTGAGCAGAATGTTTGTAACCATGTGTGTTGTCAAACCGGTCGGCCGAGTTTAAGATGCTGGTGCATTACCAAAATCATTACGATTCAGTCATAAGTATTCAAACGCTTAGCTTAGTCGGTTAATTTTTTTCCTTGTGATCATATGTGGTAAGTATACACCCATTTTGTTCGAAAAGCTTATACGATTTCGGTAAAATATTATTATCCGATGCTTTAACGTTGTTTCGCGATTGTTGAAAATAACAAATTGGGTAAAACCCTATATTTCATTTTCAATATTATACTTATACTATATGATGTAAAATTAAATTCACTATCATGTTGCACTTTTTCGCCTTGACCATCTGTAAGATTTATGTACGTGCACATATAAATTGTAATAACTCTACATCGTTTTTTGAGTATATCGTGAGTTATTTCATCGAAAAGACCGAACATATGTGTGACATTTTGTATGCGAATTATAATACATTAT